TCTATCTATCTATCTATCTATCACACACACACACACACACACACACACACACACACACACACACACACACGCACGCACGTACATGCACACACACACAAACACACAGAGTTAGTCCCGAGGATGAACGAATAAATCGGAAGGGTGAAAAAAAAGCCAGCTCATAGATGATGCATGCAATCAGTCCACCAAGAATCTTCAAGACATGTGAAGCCCCCAAAGCCAAAAGCACATCCGGACAAAATTCGTCTGGCATAGATCACTGATTAAAAAAATGGTCATCCAGAGTTTCGACTTTATTCTCTGGCTCTACTTACCATCTTGCCCGGAATGCAACGCACCCTCATCTCGATTGTATCGGATTTGAGAGACAGCTTGTATACGTTCAATATCAAGGTGCACTGTGTTATGTTCCGGGGGAGAGAGTAGTTTTGGATGCTGCATGATCAAGCATAAATGTTGTTGGCAAAAGTATATTTACTATCTAGTCGTGCCCTACCTTTCCACCTACATTTCCAAGATAGGAGGAAAACTTATCCGAAAAAGTATATTTCCTATTTAGTCGTGCCCTACTTCCGTGACAGGTCTAGTCACGGACTCTAGTCTGTAAGTGTTCACTCAGTTTCAAGTTTCAAGTTTCAAATTTCAATGATGTCAACTGCCTCTCAATTAATTAATTAATTAATTCATCACCCAAACACATTTGTGCTTTACAATGGGATTATTAAAGAGGAAATTGTCATCATCGAAAGTTTCAAAACTTGATGACTAACCAAGAACACTCGAAAACACACGTGAGGGAATGCATCCAGCCACATTTCACACTACAGTTCATTCACAAATTCTCATTACTTCAAGTGTGTGACCCACGGGAGATTTTACCCGAGGTTCCACATGATCCAATCATGAGGCCTCTCTCACCTTCATGCCAAGCTTAGGATTCAATATGCCACATGTCATCACCTTTCAAAGACCAACACACTGTCTCATCTTCTTACGAAGAACAACACTCTAAAAAAAGAGAACTACCAAGTGTCCAACAGCATACTCGCATCCAGCCTCTACTGAATGCCGGCATAAAAAAGTCAGGCCAGATGCATCCAGAATAATCCCTCAGTGACAATGAGAAACACTTTAGTGCCCAGAAGCGTATACTCACATCCAGTCTATACTGAATACAGCTATAAAGCAGGCCAGATACATCCAGGATAATCCTCAGAGAATAAGAGCATGAGCTACATGACAACATTCCGTATTCTCTGAAAATGCACCTTCACCAGAGAACAGAGAGAGGTAGAGGTTACAGCAGCAGGAAGAGAAAAACACAAGACTCCGCGGCATTGTGAAGTCCAACGGTTGACGTTGATAACATTTCTTGAATTTTCTTCCTTTGCGACAGGCACTGCGAGCCTTTCCAGACGGCCCCACGTTACCCAGCCGCCGCCGTTTTTCAAAGGCGGGCCCAGCAACTACGAAAAATCATTTCAAAATTCAAATGGCAGTTGATAACATTTCTTCTTCTGCGCGACAGGCAATGCAAGCCTTTCCCGACGGCCCCGTGTCACCCAGCCGCCGTTTTTCAAAGGCCGGGCCGGCAACTACAACAAAATCACTTCAAAGTTCAAACTGATTGAACATCTTCACAGGTTTCATGCAACCGCTGTCACTTGAGCTAAAAATGAAACCGAGACCTCCATTTGGTGGAGCAGGCCCTTAGAGAAAGAGGTTCAGCCATATGTCAAACCAAGTCATTATAAGAGATCAAAAACATAGATTGCTCATTGCTAAATATGAATTTAGTATTTACGTACATGCAATACAAAGCGATTTGTTCTCCCTCTCAA